GCTCCAGACCGGGGATCTGAGATTCAGGAGGCCGTGGACGGCGTTCGCTACGTAGCGGATCACATGATGGGAAACGACGACGATCAAAGCGTGAGTGCATAATTTCAGTTAGGGGGAAAAAAGCTTTTGGCTTCTCTCCTGAGGCCACAAGAGGGCGCATCAAGCAAAATATTATGCACATTTCTTCAAAGCGTAATAAAATAACACGACTATCTTTGAAAAAAAGTGCATAATGTTTAAAATAATGTTTATAAACCATATATAATTAATAAAGTTGCTTAAACAATTAGAAAAAAACAGCACCATGCATGTATGTATGTATAGTTTAATACAAAGGACCGAAAACCAATCACAAAGAGTAGGCTACTTTCTTCATTTAAAAACATGAGATACAGTGGGATGGGGAAAACCGCCATAACGTCTTGAGACATGTTTTTTAAAAGTTGAACATTAAGCATTAATTTTACATGGCTTTCTAAACATGCGTCTCTCTTGTGCAAGACCCGAGTGCAACGCTGATAGATGTCCCTCTAGAAAATGTGATAAATATGCATTCTGTGTGAACGGCTTGGTTTCAGTTTTGATGTAAACAACATCTTCTCCACACTGGCGCTCTCGTTTTCTGCAATATATGAATGAACAACGTAGCAGTGCCAGTGGGTTCAACTGGATAGGCTAACAAAAGCATTCAAATGCAATCAATGACACACACATCGTCATCGCATCTCGTGCGCCACTGATAAGGCTGCCTGACGGCTGATGCAGACCTTAAATTTGAATGCACCGTTTTTGCATTCGAATGTGTTTTTTTTTTTTATTGGATGAATATTCGAAATTCCAATTTTTTTTGACAGCCCTAGCGTACAGAGTACATGCTCGCACACAATTAAAAGAACTGCGTTTCAGTTATATTGGGCTGATAACTGCTCCGTTCAGTTTGTACGTGAAGTTAGCGCTAATTAATAGCCTGATTCTATGTTTCCATTAACCATGGTATAAATATTGGGGGGGGGGGTTGTACTTGCTAGTTTCCCCCTAACCCCCCCCACAAACTACGCCCCTGCAAAGTGACAAAAGTAAACACACAATTTTCAGTTAAAGGCAGTTCATCATTGAATTCAGTGATGTCATCATCCAGCTCAGTTGAGTTTAAATAATATCTTTGCAATCAAGTCGACGATAACGCTGGAAATTAAGTGTCCCCAACTAAGCAAGCCAGAGGCGACAGCGGCAAGGAACCAAAACTCCATCGGTGACAGAATGGAGAAAAAACCTTGGGAGAAACCAGGCTCAGTCTGGGGCCAGTTCTCCTCTGACCAGACGAACCAGCAGGTTGTTCCATGCTGCAGCAAAGTCAGATTGTGCAGAGGACTCAACTGGTTCCCGTGGTCAGTGTCACATGATCTTCAGAAATCATTCTAATATGCTGATTTGCCGCTCAAGAAACATTTCTGATTATTATCAATGTTGAAAAGAGTTGTGCAGCTCAATATTTTTGTGGAAATGGTCATACATTTTATTTTTCAGGATTCACAGATGAACACAAAGTTCAAAAGAACATCATTTATTTGAAATATAAATCTTTTGTAACATTAGAAATGTCTTTACTGTCACTTTTGATCAGTTTAATGTGTCCTTAATGCTGGATAAAAGTATTATTATTTGAATCTCAAATAATTTCAAATTGTTTCAAAAACATTTAAAAATCCTCAGTTGTTTTGAATATTAGTCTATGTACTGTATATTTGATGTCAGTTTTGATCAATTTAATGCATCATTGTGGATTAAAAGTATTAATTGCATTATTATTTATTAAAAAACAAAGTATTATTTAAAGTAAAAGCACTTCTGACTCCAAACATTTGAACAGTAATAAATTGAGCTCATACTATCAGTAATTCCATATCATCCTAAGAACTCGTTAGTGGGATTGATGGCTTGTAGAACTTTTTATGACTTTTATGGTTTCACTTGTAAATCATAACTGAGGGTCATAATTGCCCTCCTATTGATCTAAAACATAAAGTATTTGTGAACTGTTCAGTTTGTCAGACGGTTTGTGAGTCTTATTGACTTTCAAAAAAAAAGAAAAGAAACTGCTCGCGAGAGTCATTTGCTGGGGAATCTATACTAGTTTAACTATATGTTTGTTTAATTTGCTGTAATTCTGTGTATTTACAGGAAACGCTAGTCTAACATCTCACTTTCTGTGCATATCTAGTAAGATATTACCTTATGGGTTTAAAACGGATCGAATTGTACAGTAAAAGTTGGATGTCAACAAAGAATATTTATTCAGCAGACACACAGTTGGCAAACAGAGCAGCCAGAGCCCATTGTAAGAGCATCGATCGTGTGCTTAAATCACTCTGGAAGAGAGAGAGAGAGAATAATAGTGAGCATCAGAAAGTGTCGAGGACAGCAGTCTGAGAGACGGAGCGGCTGCTTATTCTGCCTCCTCCCTTATTAGTGCACCTAACGGGTCAATAGGGTTATTAACGAGCCGGTCTCTGTGCCTCTGCAGGTCATCGAGGACTGGAAGTACGTGGCCATGGTGGTGGACCGCCTGTTTCTGTGGATCTTTGTGATTGTGTGTGTGGTGGGAACGCTGGGTCTGTTCCTCCAGCCGCTCCTGCAGAGCCACACCGCAGGCATCCAGCAGCCCAGCGCAGAGCCGTCCAGACGAGACGGGATGTGAGCCGGAGAGCTCAATCAACTCATGCTTTATATATATATACAGCGGTGGCCAAAATGATTAGAACAGTATTTTTTCACCAGCTAAAAAATGGGTTTAAGTCAGTTATTTCTATCTTTTGCTGTAGTGTGTCAGTTTGCATTTCTAAACATTCCTTTTGCAGTCAATTGTGAATCCAGTGAGATTTTTGTGCTGCACACAGAGATCTGATCACTGATATATGTGACTCTGGAGCACAAAAGCAGTCATAAGCAGCACAGGTATATTTGTAGCAATAGCCAACAATACATTGTATGGGTCACAATTATACTTTTTTCTTTAGAGATCATGTTCCATGAATATATTTTGTAAATTTCCTACCGTAAATATATCAGAACTTAATTATTGATTAGTAATATGCATTGCTAAGAACTTAATTTGAACAACTTTATTCAATATTTTGATTTTTTTTTTTACAACAGTTAACCCCACCCACCAACTCTTATTATTGCTCGAGCCACTGTCAGTCACTTTTTTCCACTTTTCACAGAAATAAAGCTACAAATGGCTTATCGGTCTCTACATATTAAGCTTTGGTATATCTGTACTTTAAAGCTATTTTCACTCAGAAATTGCTAGTAAATTTCACAAGTAGTTACGCATAACACTTGATTAAACAAGAATTTATGAAGTCGAGAGATTGAAATTGTATTTTCTTGTAAAACATGGCCTCCAATAATCTGTTTTATTTTTCAGTGGTCTTGATAAGATACTGGAGGTTTGATTCACTGTGTAATATTTTATCACGTTTGCAGCCATTCATGGCCATTTTTGCAAAGTCTTAATCAAATCTTGTCTGGATGCTTGATTTGCTTAGATAGTCTTCTCTTTGCTACTCAAGCATTTATCAGCTGTCTTTTTTTTTCTCATCTTCTGTGTTTCTCCTTGTGTTCACCTGAAAGCACATTCAGATCTGACCTGATGTGAGTCACTATATGTACAGCGCCACCTGCTGGCTGTGTCTGTATCTGTCACTCACATTCACACCTGCTGGCTGTGTCCTAATCCAGACTACAGCGCATCACCTTCATTCACAGCGCAGGATACCGTGTCTCTTTATACAGTGTCCAGTTGTGTTCTGTAACAGGACCGGTTGCACCTAAGTGTTGGAGGTTTTATATGTTCCCAAACATGCATGCGGGACAGTGTCGGACTCTGGGAGTGAGAGTTATGGAGTTTGTGGATTTCAGTCTGAATCTGCAGCTGTTTGAAACATACATCATTTCTTGGAAAGCGAACATTGGGGTCACACTGATTATTCTCATATAGCTACTCATATAGAAACCGAGACAGATGTAGCAGTTGTAGCAAAGTGTTTTGAAAAATACCCAGGTAATGAAGTTCTGACATGTTTTTGTGTTTATTAGGTTACACCTTGCATTAAATATGGACTGCAGGATGATCTTTTATTCTATTATGTGGATCTTTCTCTGAGGTATAGAAACCCTCCAGTCTCTCAGCCAGTATTAAATTTGTACTTCATGGTGAAACCGTAAAATCCTCATGTGCTTTATCATGTAACAAAGTCATAGTCACATCATATGACAGATGCATGTAGAGTTAGAGGTAGAGGTGAATATTAACTTGAATTCGTCCTAGTTTAACTTTTGAAAAGCAATTCAGTTTGACTTGTTGCTGGTCGAATTCTGAGTGCATTTGTTGTTTTGCGCCTTATCTCTCACTTATTTTTTTTTCAATTCAATTCAATTAAGCTTTTTTGGCATGACTGTGTAACAATGTTGCCAAACCATTAACATATACTGAACAGAATTATAAACGCAACACTTTTGTTTTTGCCCCCAATTTTCAATCAGCATCTAGATATGCCACACCTGTGAGGTGGATGGATTATCTCGGCAAAGGAGAAGTGCTCACTAACACAGATTTAGACAGATTTGTGAACAATATTTGAGAGAAATAGGCCTTTTGTGTACATAGAAAAAGTCTTAGATCTTTGAGTTCAGCTCATGAAAAATGGGGGCAAAAACAAAAGTGTTGCGTTTATAATTTTGTTCAGTGTACAAATAATAAAAAGAAACAAAACGGCAACAGATGACAAATAAATAAAATCCATCTAAATAAATGAAAAGATAAAGTGAGTCAGTTTAGAGTTAACTGTGCTCTCTCTATTTCTAAATCATGCTTACTTCATCTGTATTTGGAGAGCATCTCTCTCTCTCTCTCTCTCTCTCTCTCTCTCTCTCCTCGTCTGGACTCTGGTGGGTCACTCTTCTATCAGTTCTTCGGATTGTACGATGAAAACCAGAGCTCTTTTGCACACCGGCTACTGTCTGTTTTTTCTTCTGTCTGGTGAGTAAAGTTGTTGCTGTTTATTGAGATGCTTTATGTTTGCGGTCTATGAGCGACTCGAGCGCTGGTTTCAAGCGAGCACTGAGAGTCAATGCCAGAAATCATCAAATAAATGCTTTCGATCATTAAACATTTCCGCCGGACCGTCTGTGACAACATGCCCCAGTAGCGGCGCACACGGTCACAGCTTGTGGGGTAACTTGTCACAAAGAAACTTGACATTAAACAGCTCTTTCTAAATACGTCTAATAACGCGTATAATAAATCTTTTCAGCACATCAAAGATACTAAACCGGCAAATTCGCAAATAAAAATAGTTTATATATATATCATTCCTGGTTCAGTCTAATAAAATGTTTGTGTGCATTTAGGTCTCAAATCAGATCTGACATTCTAACGTGTGTTTTACTCGCTTGTAATCAGGATTATAGTTAGAGGTTAATTCAGGATAATTGGGACATTTTTCCCCAGTCATCTCGATGGCAAAAGTGTCCCAATTTATCTGCATCGGATCAAAACAAAATCAAGATATTGTCAGGAAAAGAGGTTTAAAATTGATGCCAATAACTGTACAATGTCTGAAAATGATTGCCTGCTGAATCACTTTGTTGTATTCCTCATTTGCTATGAATACATGCATGTTAATTCATAAGGTCCCAATTTATATATATATATATATATATGTTAGGTGGCCTTAACTGCTATGAACTTACATCAGAAAATACTTATTGTGTTCAGATTATATTGCGAAACAGTTTTGCTGCTATTGAGGTGGGATATGGGTAAGGTTAGGGACAGGTTTGGTGGTGTGGGCAGGTTTAAGTGTCAACAGTGTAATTACAGAAGTTAATTACAGATGTAATTACATGCAGGTATTTTTAAAAATATAATTACAATGTAAAAACTTGTATGTACCCAATAAGTGCATTGTATTAAATTATTAACGTAGTATCACGTAGTATAAAGTGTGAGCATTCATAATGAGAAATGCATGTTTTAGCAGCTTCTGAAGCATGAGATTCTGCAGTAATGAACGTCTCTGGTCCAGATTCAGGGGTTTGTGGCTCTGAGGCCGAGCACAGGCTCTTCTCAGTCATCTTCTCCAGTTATAACCAGTACATCAGACCGGTGGAGAACGTGTCCGAGCCCGTCATCGTCCAGTTTGAGGTGTCCATGTCACAGCTGGTCAAAGTGGTAAGTGCTGTGAGCAAACACAGGTTCATTTGCTTGTTTTACCCTGGTTTCAGAGGGTTTCAGAAGGATTCAGAGGGTTTCAGAAGGATTCAGAGGGTTTCAGAGGGTTTCAGAAGGATTCAGAGGGTTTCAGAGGGTTTCAGAGGGATCCAGAGGGATTCAGATGGTTTCAGAGGGTTTCAGAGGGATTCAGAGGGTTTCGGAGGGATTCAGATGGTTTCGGAGGGATTCAGAGGGATTCGGAGGGTTTCAGAGGGTTTCAGAGGGATTCAGAGGGATCCAGAGGGTTTCAGAGGGATTCAGAGGGATCCAGAGGGATTCAGAGGTGGCTCTGAGGCCGAGCACAGGCTCTTCTCAGTCATCTTCTCCAGTTATAACCAGTACATCAGACCGGTGGAGAACGTGTCCGAGCCCGTCATCGTCCAGTTTGAGGTGTCCATGTCACAGCTGGTCAAAGTGGTAAGTGCTGTGAGCAAACACAGGTTCATTTGCTTGTTTTACCCTGGTTTCAGAGGGTTTCAGAAGGATTCAGAGGGTTTCAGAAGGATTCAGAGGGTTTCAGAAGGATTCAGAGGGTTTCAGAGGGATTCAGAGGGATTCAGAAGGATTCAGAGGGTTTCAGAAGGATTCAGAGGGTTTCAGAGGGATCCAGAGGGATTCAGAGGGATTCAGATGGTTTCGGAGGGATTCAGAGGGATCCAGAGGGTTTCAGAGGGATTCAGAGGGATTCGGAGGGATTCGGAGGGTTTCAGAGGGTTTCAGAGGGTTTCAGAGGGATCCAGAGGGATACAGAGGGTTTCAGAGGGATTCAGAGGGTTTCAGAGGGATCCAGAGGGTTTCAGAGGGATTCAGAGGGTTTCGGAGGGATTCGGAGGGATTCGGAGGGATTCAGAGGGATCCAGAGGGTTTCAGAGGGATCCAGAGGGTTTCAGAGGGATCCAGAGGGTTTCAGAGGGATCCAGAGGGTTTCAGAGGGTTTCAGAGGAATTCAGAGGGTTTCAGAGGGTTTCAGAGGGATCCAGAGGGTTTCAGAGGGATCCAGAGGGTTTCAGAGGAATTCAGAGGGATCCAGAGGGTTTCAGAGGGATTCGGTCTCTGTTCTCCATGATTTGCATCAGTCGTCTGCTGGGCTCATCATGAGTCTGGGTCTCTTCATGATTTACTCATCGGCTGGAGCTTCAAAGTCTCTGCTCTTGAGCTCTGACCCAGAGGGTTTCAGAGGGATCCAGAGGGTTTCAGAGGGATCCAGAGGGTTTCAGAGGGATCCAGAGGGTTTCAGAGGGATCCAGAGGGTTTCAGAGGGATCCAGAGGGTTTCAGAGGGATCCAGAGGGTTTCAGAGGGATCCAGAGGGTTTCAGAGGGATTCGGTCTCTGTTCTCCATGATTTGCATCAGTCGTCTGCTGGGCTCATGATGAGTCTGGGTCTCTTCATGATTTACTCATCGGCTGGAGCTTCAAAGTCTCTGCTCTTGAGCTCTGACCTCAGACACGCAATGATCCGTCGGATCCATGATCTGCTGAATTATCAGTTTTCCTCTCATCTCTCCTCTTTCTTCCCCGCATCAGTCACGGAGAACGTCTCACTTCTATTAAACACAGTGTCTATCGAGCTGTATTTCCTTCCTTATGTCATTCTTTCTCATTTCTTTTCTCTAGATTGTTCAATTCAGCTTGACAATGATAAAGTCTGATGCAAAAAATGCAGTTTCTGTGCATTCAGTCACATCCCATGTTATGCTTTAAAGTTTAGAGAGGTCATTTCATGCTTTTTGGAGGGATGGAAGCACAAACAACAAGAAAAACACCATAACAAAGAATGATTTCAGTATTATATTGCAGAGGAAATCTAAATATATAGTCTTCTGAAATGTTCTCATTTCTCTGCCAGTACCTTTAGTGGCCTGATTTGAAATTTTGACAGACTATTGGATTTTTTTTTAAGGCTAAAATATAAAGGCATATAAGAAAATGTAATGTGTAAGTTGAGATCAAAAATTTACTTTTTTCTGACCAACATATATTTTAAATATATGCTGTAAACAGTAAAGCTCAATTAAATATATTTTTGAAATTGAATATGTATTTAGTTTCAACCTTCATATACCAAAATATATTTCAAAATACAGTCTTACAGCAGCCTACATTTATGATATATGTTTAAGTTTGTCTTCAAATGTGACATATTCAGTGTTATTTTAGTATCATTCAGAGTTTTTGATATTATTTTTAGATTTTCTGGTTTCATTTTCAATTTGGTTAAAGTGGGATTAATTTTGTTGTGCGTTTGTTGTTTGTTGTTTGTTTTTAAATATGCCTATATATTGTAGTACATTAAACTAAATGAAAATGAGAAATGTTGCCTTGGAAACTAACTGACATAAAATAGTTTTTATATTTTATTTTATGTCAGTTAACTTTTATTTTATATTTATGTATTTCAAGTAATCAAAGTGTGGTTTATTTATGGTTTAATTTTAGTCAACTATGATAACCCTCATGTTATTGTGGTTTCTTGTATTGAAATATATGGAGGGCAAAATATTTTTGAATGCTTATAAAAATATATATTTATATTTCAAAATATACTTTTTTTGCCTTTATCCGTAGGATGAGGTGAACCAGATTATGGAGACCAATCTCTGGCTGCGACACGTAAGCTCATGCATTATTCACACACATCCAAAGGTCATTGAGTCATTTAGATAATTGGACACAATCGTATTCACCATCTTTGCGGTCACTCTTTGCCATGATTGGTGCAGCAGGTGGATTTGATTCCCAGTGGAATACAGATGTGAGATGCTTGCTGCTGGTGTGATGTTGTGGATGTTAAAAACAAATCCTAATAGACTCACGGTAAGGAGTTGTAGATGATATTATTTTATTCATTTAGGCATTTGGTGAATAAAATAAATGGGACTGTGATCTCAGTAATATTGGCTTCCAAATGGCTAATTGTCTTGATTGGAAATGGTCTTCTTAAACCAGACGGCTTTAGATCTTACTGTACGAGAAAAAATCTCATGCAGCAAAGAGGGCCTAACCAAAGCATTGTGCCCTCCTCCTGAATTAATCATGCAGTTCATTAACATTTAAATGGCTAATCAATAATCACATTTAATCAAGCGAATCGAATTCAATACATAATTAATTCACATGGGTGGTAAGTCATATACCAACTATTTAAGCAGCTGACTGGGTTTGCTGTATCCTGGAATACTGAATCTAATTAAGCATAACACACAAGCATCCTGCAAATATGGGCTTCTTATTGTGTGCATAAAACTACACTGGGAAAAAAAATTGGTGTTGAAAGAGTGAGTGTGAAGCCTTTATATATAATGCATTTTGCAAGTATTTTAATGCATTAATAATTCCTTGTAATGCAGTAATTATTGTAACCCCATTTATAATACTTCATTGTTGCATTAAAACACATGACAAACAACCAGTTTCAGCAAGAAATCTGCAAATATTAAAATGCATTTTATCTTGAACTTTAATTCTTTTGTGAAAGGATGTAATGCACTGTAAAACAAATGCTGTAAAACCGTAACATACTGTCTTCCATTATAACAGTAATGTACTGTAGAAAACAATGCATTACAGGCAATATTACAGCACTTTCTGTATATCTTTATAATGCATCACACATAAAGGCTTTAAGTAAATTAGTACCCAGTTTTGACTTAGTAATTTGCAGTGAATTTTGAAGTAGAAAATCTGAAACCATATTTTTCTTGCAAATCGTACTCCAGTACTTTTTTTGCAACTTTGGAAACTATGGAAGCCCGTTTCTGACTTTTTCTCGAAATTGCGAGATGTAAAACTTGTAAATGCATGTTATAAAGTTAGATTTGCGAGACTTTTTTTCTCGCAGTTGTAAGTTTATATATCGCAATTCTGACAATATCTTATGGGACTGTGATCTCAGTAATATTGGCTTCCAAATGGCTAATTGTCTTGATTGGAAATGGTCTTCTTAAACCAGACGGCTTTAGATCTTACTGTACGAGAAAAAATCTCATGCAGCAAAGAGGGCCTAACCAAAGCATTGTGCCCTCCTCCTGAATTAATCATGCAGTTCATTAACATTTAAATGGCTAATCAATAATCACATTTAATCAAGCGAATCGAATTCAATACATAATTAATTCACATGGGTGGTAAGTCATATACCAACTATTTAAGCAGCTGACTGGGTTTGCTGTATCCTGGAATACTGAATCTAATTAAGCATAACACACAAGCATCCTGCAAATATGGGCTTCTTATTGTGTGCATAAAACTACACTGGGAAAAAAAATTGGTGTTGAAAGAGTGAGTGTGAAGCCTTTATATATAATGCATTTTGCAAGTATTTTAATGCATTAATAATTCCTTGTAATGCAGTAATTATTGTAACCCCATTTATAATACTTCATTGTTGCATTAAAACACATGACAAACAACCAGTTTCAGCAAGAAATCTGCAAATATTAAAATGCATTTTATCTTGAACTTTAATTCTTTTGTGAAAGGATGTAATGCACTGTAAAACAAATGCTGTAAAACCGTAACATACTGTCTTCCATTATAACAGTAATGTACTGTAGAAAACAATGCATTACAGGCAATATTACAGCACTTTCTGTATATCTTTATAATGCATCACACATAAAGGCTTTAAGTAAATTAGTACCCAGTTTTGACTTAGTAATTTGCAGTGAATTTTGAAGTAGAAAATCTGAAACCATATTTTTCTTGCAAGTCGTACTCCAGTACTTTTTTTGCAACTTTGGAAACTATGGAAGCCCGTTTCTGACTTTTTCTTGAAATTGCGAGATGTAAAACTTGTAAATGCATGTTATAAAGTTAGATTTGCGAGACTTTTTTTCTCGCAGTTGTAAGTTTATATATCGCAATTCTGACAATATCTTGCAATTGTGAGTTACAAAGTGCAGTTAAGAGGAAAAAAGACTATTTTCTATTAATGGCACACTCCTTTTTTTCTCACAATTGCAAGTTTACATCTCTCAATTCTGACTTTTGTTCTCAGAACTGCGTGATATAAACTTACAATTGCTTGTTATAAAGTCAGAATTGCGAGATATTAACTCAAGTCTCCGAATTGAAAAGTCCGAATTGTTAGATAAAAAGTTGCAATTGCCTTTTTTATTCAGTGGCAGAAACTCTTTTTTTTCTGCGTGTTTCTACTTTTCGTAGATTTGGAACGATTACAAGCTCCGGTGGAATCCCAAGGATTTCGGAGGCGTTGAGTTCATCCGTGTGCCGTCCAACAAGATTTGGAAGCCAGACATCGTGCTGTACAACAAGTAAGTTCTCCGTTCTGATCCTCGTTTCGTTACGGACCATTCGTTATCAGCATCGTTAATCCTTGAAATTTTTTTTTTTTTTAAATGTGAGTACATTTATAACACTATTCTTTGTATTATATCACCTTTTATTGAAAATCATGAAAACATTTTCTTTTGCTATTTGAGTAAGTGGGAATGCAAAAAATATATTTGTGGTACTCTCCCATAGTGCTGTCAAACGATTAATCCATGAAATTTTTTCATATTTGTTTTTTTTTTTTTTTTTTAATGTGAGTACATTTATAACACTATTCTTTGTATTATATCACCTTTTATTGAAAATCATGAAAACATTTTCTTTTGCTATTTGAGTAAGTGGGAATGCAAAAAATATATTTGTGGTACTCTCCCATAGTGCTGTCAAACGATTAATCGCGATCCAACATAAAAGTTTTTGTTTACATGATATGTATGTGTGTGTGTGTGTGGTGTATATATATTATGTATATATAAATACAAAAACAATATGTTATGTTTATATATTACATATATTTTTATATCATTTAATATCATTTTCAAAATATATACTGTTTGTGTGTGTGTTTATATACACATAATAAATATAAACAGTACACATACATATATTATAAAGCGGAGAGTTCCGGTGCTTGACTCTGATTGGCTGAGCCGCGTTCGAAGCTGTTGTAAATGACGCTACAAAGTAACACACACCTTTGTTTACGTTTGTGTGTTGCTCGGCAACCACTTTGTGTTTCTGTTTCTGAGGAGCTACATTGTTTGGTGGAAGAACACTGTGTTTATTAATATCATTACACTTTATTTGCTCTGTTTTATTTTGTGAAACCTTACTACGGATATGGAATAATAAAAGTTTTATAAAAGCAATAAGCCCTGTGAAGCCGTGGTTTACAGTGAATTTATAACAGCTAAGGGGCGTTGTTAGTGCGAAGCGGAGTGCCTAAAACCCCCCTTAGCTGTTATAAAACCACTGTAACCCACGGCTTCTTGGGACTTATTGCTTTATTATGTAAACAAAAACTTTTATTTTGGGTGCGATTAATCGCGAGCACTAATAAGCACTACTCTCCCATTCACTGCTCTCGAAGTCAACCCAACTACGACGGCTTCCGCTGCTGAGAAACACGGAAACGTAAAAAAGGTCAATCCTTCACGATCCGTTTCTGTTTCCGACCCGCAGCGCAGTCGGTGATTTCCAGGTGGACGACAAAACGAAAGCTCTTCTGCGCTACAACGGAGACGTCACCTGGATCCCACCGGCCATCTTCAAGAGCTCCTGCAAGATCGACGTCACCTTCTTCCCGTTCGACTACCAGAACTGCACCATGAAGTTCGGCTCGTGGACCTACGACAAAGCCAAGATCGACCTGGTGCTCATCGGCTCCACCATCAACCTGAAGGATTTCTGGGAAAGCGGCGAGTGGACGATCATCGACGCTCCCGGATACAAGCACGACATCAAGAAACAGTACACATACATATATTATAAAGCGGAGAGTTCCGGTGCTTGACTCTGATTGGCTGAGCCGCGTTCGAAGCTGTTGTAAATGACGCTACAAAGTAACACACACCTTTGTTTACGTTTGTGTGTTGCTCGGCAACCACTTTGTGTTTCTGTTTCTGAGGAGCTACATTGTTTGGTGGAAGAACACTGTGTTTATTAATATCATTACACTTTATTTGCTCTGTTTTATTTTGTGAAACCTTACTACGGATATGGAATAATAAAAGTTTTATAAAAGCAATAAGCCCTGTGAAGCCGTGGTTTACAGTGGATTTATAACAGCTAAGGGGCGTTGTTAGTGCGAAGCGGAGTGCCTAAAACCCCCCTTAGCTGTTATAAAACCACTGTAAACCACGGCTTCTTGGGACTTATTGCTTTATTATGTAAACAAAAACTTTTATTTTGGGTGCGATTAATCGCGAGCACTAATAAGCACTACTCTCCCATTCACTGCTCTCGAAGTCAACCCAACTACGACGGCTTCCGCTGCTGAGAAACACGGAAACGTAAAAAAGGTCAATCCTTCACGATCCGTTTCTGTTTCCGACGAACGAGGCCAAGGAGGTGAGAGATCTGACATCAAATCAGTCCATAATGCATTGGTCTGATACAGTCAAACCAAAATTTATTCAGACACCTTCGACATTTCTATATTTTCTATCATCTTCATTGCTATCCTCACTTACATAAATGAACTATAGTGTCCTGCACCCACTAGTAAAAATTATATTTGGTGTCTATTTGGGATTGACTGTATTATTATTATTGACACTTTTTATTTCTAGGACTTTAGTATTTAGTGTTAAACAAGCAGGGGATCCTGTAAGGGAGAGAAATAAAGCATGTTTTTACCAACTACATACTGAAGCTTTTCACAAGATCTTTTCACTGTCTGTAAAGCCTGACTTATGAAACAATAGTCAAATTTTATGAAATGGAAGAGTTTATTGAACCTTTAGACAAAATAAAAAAAAATTAGTCTGCGTATGTGCTTTTTTTGTTAAATGTAATTTGTGTTCCATTAGGCTTTTCTGGCTCATGTAGTCTGATACAGTGAGAATATGGAGAAAAACAGCTCAGTTTTATTCAGAGACTCAAACTGAGCAAAGCAATTTGATGCAGATGCTGATATTTCTATGCTGATATTCTGATGCTGTACTGTAAATCAATGAGATCTTTATAACAGTAGAGCAGACACAGAGATGTTCTGGAGGCTTGTGAAGATCATTCCTCCGCTGAGGAACAGTGAAAGTAAAGCTTCTGGAAACAAACGCTCCTCAAAAGATCCTGAGGATCAGATTTGAGACTCTAAAACATGATTGATGGAGAATCAAGTAAAGCTGAGCTGCTTCAGTGCAGTAAGTGTTCATCTGGAGATATTACTGACGTTATTCTGACCTTTACTTGATCAAAACCAGTCAAGATCTGACAGCAGAGACACTGGATGTTTGTGCAATTACACTAAAAGAGCTTTTACTGGATAAAAACCAGACGACGGAAGAGATGAAGTAGAAACAGGTTTAACAGCAAACTTTGATCATTTAGAGGGCTTAGAAATCTGCATATCAAATATGATCCAGAGTTCATGTCTTGCTCTTCCAACCCTTGTGTTTAAAGGTCCAGGACGACTGGAAGTATGTGGCGATGGTGATTGACCGGATCTTTCTCTGGGTGTTTGTCCTCGTGTGTATTCTGGGTACGGCTGGACTCTTCCTGCAGCCACTGCTGATGAGCGAAGACATGTGACGACTTCACATCCCAGCATTTTCAAGAAGATTTCTAAGTACCCACACACTTGTCAATTCCTATTTCCATCAAAGTCATGCAACCCGGTTACATTACATAAGGCTAAAAGACATTTGGCCGATGACTGGACCGAATATTTGGCCTGTAGATGGAGTATCAGAGGCTTGTGCAACTAGCAGAGTACTCCTAAATTAATAGTCCTCAAAAAATGGATCCACTCATTTATTTGCCTTTTGAGTTGTTCCAAGTCCATGTGGTCTTTCTTTTTTCTTTTTTTCCATGTTTCATAGATCACAGTAAGCTCCAAAATGAGAAAGAAGCACCTTAAAAGTAGTCTGTACAAACATGTGTGCTGTAGTTTTTGAAGTCATAATCAACAGAGTGAAATCACAGCTGCTCGCTGATAATCTGTGTATGAATGAATGGGTTCAGTTCATAATAATAAGACTTATTCCGTCAATTTGAGTCCTTGTAATGTGTGACGATTCTATAATATAATATATAATAATGAATATATCAGCATGCAGGTTTGGACTGAAAATAATAACGGGGTCTTTATTTCCGAATCTGTCTGTAAACTCACACATCCCTTCATGAGATACGACTGCTGTTTGGCACGTATGGTCATTTTGTTACATTAAAATATTTTAAACTTCTTGTGAGACACGTTTTTAAAAACACAGACTTGGGCAAAGTCACCATCTCCTTGTGTGAGTGTTGTAACAGCTTACTTTCAGGTACAAAGCGCCACCTAGTGGATCCTTTGAGCAGGTCCCTGGTAAAAAAAAAAAAAAAGACGAGACCTTTCTGTGTAATATAAGACACGGGTCTCCAAAACAGTAAAAATGTTTTTTTGAACATGCAATGGGTGTCTGTTCACTGTACATGTTCATATATTCTTAATGTATCCTGATGCACATTTTTAACCTTTCAAGGAATCCTACAAATAAAGAAAGTTCTATGAAGATCTTCTCTTCTACTGTTGGCTGGCTGAAAATGATTTATCTTCAGTTTTGTGAGAATTTCAGCATCTGCCCCGGGCTGCACTGACATCTATCAAAGGCTGTAACGTTTTTATAGCACACTGTAAATTACTGTCATGCACCTGTATCGACGTCACAGAGAGTTAATGCAACTTACATAAAGCGTTAAAACCAAATAATTTGATTTCTGACATTTAAAGAAAACTGATAGCCAAAAATGCACTCCGAATTTATCATATTCACAACTTAATAGCAACCTATTGATAATAGCAACACTGCTGTATTCAGTTGCATCTTCATTTGTACAGTACACAAGAAAGCTATTAATCCACGTGTGTCTAAGTCAGAAAAGGGTTAGATTCTTCCTTAAGGCATTTTCACACTAAATGCAAATGCTCAGTTTAAATAAACCAATTAATGCCTGTGAACCTTTTCACACCAGACCCAACTGCTTTTTCCCTTCGGTAAGTGGGTCTCATTTTATTTTCATCATCGGGTGATCAGATTATACATTATGCTTGTGAATTCTGCTAACTGAGCAAGGCATTTGATAATCAAAGTCACAGGTCTGCCCTCTGGCTGGAACAGATTTAGTTAACATTTCACAACACATTATAAATTACATGACTGCCACACTGCTACTACTGTCACACGATCGTGTTACAACATTAATGAATCAATACAATACAACTGTAGGAGAAAAAAAAAGTAGGAAATGCATAATAGACATTTTGAAACATTGAATAGTTTATGCATAATTCTAGGTTGATGTGGAATATGAAGACCAAGATGAGGAAATGTGGAAAATGCTTTTTATATTTTGACTGCTTTTAGCTATTTTCCAATTTAACAAAAACATTACACCAAAAGAAATAATAATAAAGTAACTACAGCTAACTGTGATTGCAGGCATGCTTGTACGTAAAACTCTGACAGCAGGTGACTATGAGGGTAATTGTTATGAAGTGCAATAATCATGCAGAAATGTCAACTCAGATGAACTGCAAAATGTTTCTAAGCTTCGAGCACTGATGCACAATGTGGCTTTGGGCAAAACTGTTGTGATAACGCAAATGATCCAGTCCATGATCGCTTGAAGCATCGCCTTTGGGTTGCTGGGTTGCCTAGCCATGAACTCTACACTCTAAAACCCCCTGAAGGCTAGACCACTCCTACCCACCGAAAGTATAAAACCAAGACCACCACCTGCAACCTATAATCCACCTGTGCATCAGCCTTTTAGACCGACAACATGAGCTTCACGTTCAAGTCAGCGTTCCAGACCATCTCCAGCTTCGTGAGTGATCTTTCAGTCCTCTAATCTTTCATATTAGCCTTTCTAAATTAACTTGTGCATTTTCGAGATAGTAGTATTCAAGTCAGCTGTAAACCTTACCATAACACAGGAATACAGAATGCTTTATTTACTATGCAGAGCATCCCTTATGTGAGCCGTATCTCTGGAGGACTGAAAGCTGGGAAAGCCATCTTCATTCAGGGATCCGTTCCGTCTGGATGTGAGAGGTGACTCTCTCTGTTCATGACTGAGTGTGTTCGAGTAACTAGTTCACTCCTTCACGTTGTCTTTGATCATTGCAGCTTTGTGGTGAATCTGAAGTGTGGAGAGTCTGAAGGAGACGACATCGCCTTTCAAATCAAGCCCCAGTTCAGCAGCAACCGCATGGTCCTGAACAGCCGCCAACATGGGTCATGGGGAAAAGAGGAGAAACTGGAATTACCTTTAAAGCAGGCCAGCGGCTTTGATCTGATCATTGCCGTGAATTCTGAAAATTATCAGGTGTGTTTTGATGCTTGGTCCTATTCATTGGGTGCATCGTGCGAAGGCAAAAGCATTAGAAGAGATATCTAACTATAGTCATTTTCAATCTGAAGGTGTATTTGAATGGAAAGGAAGTTGGTCGATTCCAGCATCGTATATCTCTGGATCGAGTCATCGCTCTGAGTGTTGGAGGACAGGTTTCTGTGACAAACGTGGCTTTCACCGAGGTGAGCGATAAACCTCTTGCATATATTTTCAGACTGCATAAACTCTGCAAAAAATGATATTCTTCCTTAGTATTTTTTGTCTTGTTTTCTAGTATACATATCAACAAATTCTTGAATTAGGATGCATTTACTTGACAAGTAAAATGATTTAAGGTATCATGTCTTGTTTTCTGAAAAACTTTTTCAGAAAACAAGACATGATACCTTAAATAATCTTAATTCAAAGGCTAAACAAGATTATTTTTCTTACCCCATTGGCAGATATGTTTACTTGTTTTAAGCAAAAACTAACAAAATTTGAATAATGTTTTCAGAAAACAAGACAAGTCATTTTACTTGTCAAGTAAATGCATCCCGATTCAAGAATTCTTAGTTATTTATACTAGAAAACAAGAAAAATACTAAGGAAGAAAATATATTTTGTTGAGTTGTATTACTCAAGCACAGGCATTCCTGTTATTTTGGCATTAGGCTATGATATCACACAGATAAATGTTTCAGTATTCTGTCACAGCAGTCCTGCGATAAGACATCATCACAATCTATAATAAACGCATAGCTAATTCTCTGAAGTCTAACTTACGAGACTATACTACGCAAATGGAAAAGCAACTGGATTCTTTTAAAAATGTAACGCTTAACTGAGTAAAAGCAAAAGGTTAATAAATGAATGTCTGGGAGACGTCATATAAATAATTGTGTTATTTAACTCCTACCATCTTGCTTTTACAGAGCTGGGCTGGATCTTCTGTCTTTGGGCAGAGCGCAAGTATGATCCACTCGCAGAATGGGTCGATCACTTTTGGAGGACATTCATCTGTGCTACATGGAAGCTCAGCTATTCAAACACAGATGGGACTTTCATTGAGCAACCCGGTTCAAAATCCTGTGAGTAACAGACACTTTCCAGGGATTCAGAACACAACAAAGTGCAAGCACTAAAAGAAACTGCAGTGTATGAAACTTTTTTCATCATTTATGATGCCCCTTTTAACCCTTTGGTATTGTTTATTTGGGGGTCACACTTGTGTTGTTCACAGTCAAAACTGACCGAACACCCGAAATTTAATTATTATTTTTTTTTTTTCAGTAAAAAAAAAAAGTAATATATTTTTTTCCATATTGTTATTTCTTTTTTCTTTTGTATTTTGAGAGAATTTATTATTTAAATTTATGTAATAATTATGAAATTAAGATTGGAATATTACTTTTTAATTATGACAGTATTTCATGTTAAAATAGAGACAATGCCTTTAAAATCCGATTTTTGAAGTCAGATTAGTGCCATCTGGTCGGTGTTGTGTGTGTGTGTCTGTGAGTGTGTGTAAGTGAGTGTGTGTGTCTGTTTTGTACTCTTAATATTTTAGTGTGTAGCCCCTTCCTTGGTGTCTGTGTTTTGACTGCATTTTTGGCCGAATTATTGATTTTATTTAATGCATTTGCAGAAACATGCTTTGTGTTACAGTCACACTAGTTCATATATGTGTGTGTGACACACACACACACAAAAAAATAATTTGTGGTCACATAGTGACTGACATAAAACTCACCAAGTTTCATACCATTCCAATGAAGTAGCTATTTTAAAAAATTCGAAACATGTTTTTTTTCTGGTCTAAAATGACCGAACAAAACCAGAGGGTTAAAATGTAAAAATCAGAAGTTCAAAGCTTGCCATAAGAACCTGGTTAATATATGCTGATGCTTATGTTCTTGTGTTTACTGCAGAACCTGCCTTATGTGGCCCCAATTTCAGGAAGACTGAGAGAAGGCATGGCCTTGTACTTACAGGGAGTTGTTCCTGCTAATGCTGACCGGTAAGGAATTGTTTTGTTGGGCAATTTGGTCAAAACAAATTGTTAATTTTATTTAACAATTGTTGTTTGGATTTGGTTGATTTAAAATGTTTCATCTTCCATGCAGGTTTGAACTAAATTTCAAGACTGGGCCATCTGACAATGATGACATTGCTTTCGACTTCAACCCTCGAATGGACCAGAAGGTGGTCATGAACAGCTTCAGGAACGGAGGATGGGAGGCTGAGGAAAGTGTCTCTGACAACCCCTTTAAAAAGGGACAACCTTTTGAGATGTTCACTGTCATCAAATCTGAAGGATATCAGGTACATGTTTTGAGAACGAGACTCACCACACTGCTAAAAGGGAGCTAGGACCTTGTCCTCACA